CCTATAGACATGAGCAGTTACATGTACATAACAGAGTATGCTGTTTCGCTCATGATACCCCCCATGCGTTGCCATTCCTGAGAACTCAGGTGTTATTCCTCTGTACCCTGTAAATTCACGCCATATCTCACCCTTCTAACCAAAACATAGCCATGCAAACACAACTGCTTCACGGTAGAAACATGAATGGAATGGAGGTACCCAAGCAATCGACTTTTGTACAAAGTCTCCCTATGATCTAATATAATATATAATCGAGGCTCAGATTGACCATTTTTAATCCAATTTATAAAATGTTCTAACAAAATCAACTCATCAAAGAATATTAAAATATTACGTAAATGTAAATTAATCAGACTCCTTTAATATTTTATCGACGGTGGATTTTTTATTCAAACTGAGTTTGAAATATTGAGTGCTGAATGTAATTTCGTTAATGAATTTATTCTTTTCATCGCATAACGATTTAACAACTAATGGTAAGTCATCATTTTTATTTTATGTTTTAAATAAATATCTTAATATAATTTATATATGTATATGAATTACTACAAAAATATTCGTGAACTTTTTTGATATATTTCATAGTATTTAAATACTCTCTAACTAGTTTAAACAAGTGCTATAGGAAATTTAAATGATTATAAGATATTTAAGGCAAAACATCCTTAGATACATCAAACATGTCATGTACTGAAAAAAAAGTCGTAATAGTTAATATTAAAAACAAGCTCCCAGTCCCCATTGGGTCCGATATTCCTGAGGGATTTACTCGTATAGTCGTGAGTGTATTTTTAACCAACTTTAAAAAGAAGGAGGTTCTCAATTCGGTCGTATTTTTTTATGTTTGTTATCTTATAACTGCATCAGTTGTAAACCGACTTGTTTTTTTTTATTTTTCCTGATAGGATACTTATAGATTTAAAAAAATCTGTTCAGTAGTTTAGTTTTTAAATCAAAATGCCATATTGCCATATTTCAAGTCATTTTTTATGTGAAATACAATTTAATTATTTTATTAGTAAAATTAACAATGCAAAAACAGACTACAACAAAGAAAAACTAGAAATATTATTTTTCACATAAATACACTGCATATATTGGTCTTATGTAAAATAATTTCATACGTTCCACATAAGCTTATCCGGGCGTAACCCCAACCCAATCGCAATTGTTCGAAATACACCCGCGGGGCACAGACAACCAACTCGGTCATGATACAGAACGATGTGAAAATTGAAGGGTTGGATTTGATGACTTGAAAATAAATGTAGCGGAGGTTACCCATTATGGAAGGCCGTTTTGAGACTATATTGCTATAAATATAAATAGATAGGGTAGATTTGATTTACATTTCAAGTTACTTTGATTTCTTTCGAATTCTCAAAAGTGATGAGTGAATACGAAAAGAAATAAAGCAACTGCAGTTGGAGAGTTTGTATGAATTTTATTCCGACATTGGAAAGCGAAATATGAGAGTGAAATTATTAGATATGAATTCATAACATCATTTTAATACATTAAATATGTAATAATATATTATATATGTAATTTTATTATATATGTAATATTGCCATACGATAAGGTCACCTTTTGTATCACTTCTCATTAATATTTACTGTCTTTGTTATTTTTCTTTTTACTTTGTATAATAAAGTGTAAAATAAATAATATTAATATTGACGCATTTGAGAAAAAAAATAATTCTTTCTTAAATGCATCACAGCACCGCCACCGACCCGCTTACCAAGCGTGGCAACTACTGGTAAAATCCTCCTTATGGGAGAGCCAGCAGTTAACGACTGATATATGTGTAATAATAATAATGCAGCACCGTGGATATCATATGAGACACATTGTTGGTGTCACAGTATATATTTTGTGAAGTTCATAGTAAGTACTGTTCATGTTTATTGAACGACGGGTATCGTTATCCAGCAGGTAGACTGACAGCATATTTGTCATTTCAAGTTGTATGACAAATTATAGTTTGAATATCTCAGATCAATTTATTGGACTTACTTCCTAAATTTGATAATTCGGATTAGGTATAATCAGAGATCTGGTAGACTGACATAATTTGTAAATTATTATTTTAAAGAACATAGAGCTTTATTAATTATAGAGGCAATTTATAATAATACTACGATTTTATGACACATTATATATAATTTGAAAATTTGTGAGGATAGATAGATGTTTGTTACTATTTCACGCAAAAATTTCTGAACGGATTTGAATGAAATTTGGTACATGAATAGATTATATCCTACCGTAACAAATAAGATACTTTATAAACTAATTCATGTTGGGAAATCAGTAGAATATAGCTAGTATTAAATGTATGTATTATAAAGTACAGTAATATGAAAGTCCAAAGTTAACATTTTGAAAGAAATCCATCAAAATCAGAAACGATTCCAAATATACTCGTATCTGTAGAGATTGCAATGTTAAATTGGTGTTCTCAAATAAACATTAACCTCTGGGTTAACTTCACATAAACTTTAAATTTAAAGTTTACCGTTTCAATCAACAGAGTTAACAGTTGACTGTCTTGTGGCTACAATAAGTTATCTTAGCTTTGAGGTGTCACAGTTAAAGTTATCGCTAACCACAACGTGACAGGCTAAGTTTAACTTGGATAACGATGCGGGTTTCTTGTTCCTGGGTGTAAAGGTGGTGTTATTCATTACTTCTTTTAAATGTAATCTTAAATAGCTTTAGACTATTTAAATGAATGAAATATAAATTTAGGGTAATGGGGAAATATCAGTAATGAGGACTATAGTCAACTAAACTTTAATCTCATTATTACAGTAATTTTACCCTCAGTCAGTTTCTGCTAGTTGAAAAAATAAGCCTGACTATAACACTTATAACATAACTAGTAAGTTAAGATACTAAGGTACTTTAACTTACTAGTGATGTGCAGTGTTTTAAAATTTTACCGAAATAAGTTTTTTTTTGCGGAAGCCTATGACACTGGTTGTTTGATTTGAGTTATTTTGTTTAATTCCGCTATCATTGTACACGTTTTGCGATACATGTTTCATCTCTAAACTAAGATAACTCTAGAAGAAAAAATAAAGATGAAGCATGTGTCATAAAACCTGCGTGAATACAATAGCAGTCGGAGATTGATTGCTAATATGGAAGGTAATAGAATTTCTGGTAATTAATAGTGGGGATCGATCTTTGAATGTTGGTAGTCACACACATACTAATAGTAGCGGAATTAAACAAAATACTTCTACTCAAATAACCAATACAGTGTTTTGTTTATAAACATGTCTACTTTCCCATACGTTATAGTCACTCCATACCCCTCTTTAACTGACCTCACTCCGTTTCTATAATTCGAATATGTTCAAAAAATTTGATACATATTTGTGTATTCGTTTATGCAGTTTCTATGGTAGTAAGGTAGTTATAAATCATGTTTACCTACCTATATGAAGTACGATATGACGTAGGTTTCTTTTATTGCTCCCAAAATTCAATACCATTACTGATGTCCCCTCGGAACTATACGATCGCTCTCTGCGTCACACCGCCCTCTTAACCCCGTAATTCTAAGAACGTATTTATTTAATTTTGTTTTCTATTGTCGATTTAGTTTATTAACAATTACTTAAATTAAATATTAATTTGTTATTTATAATTTCACTAGTTTTTACACGCGACTTTGCCTTTGTGAATCCTTTTCTAATATTATATAGATGAAAATTACTTTGTTTGTTTCTTACCTTTTAGCGCGTTAATCGGTAACTATGAATTTGGTATACACCTACTATTAGAAATGGAGAAGGGTCTAGGCTACTTTTTATCCCGATTAGTAAACATATCCCACTTACGCGGCCGAAGTCACGGTTAAACGCTAGGCAGTAAAGAAAGAAAGATTTGTTAAAATGGAACATAATCTACCATTGTACAAAACTTCATTCAAGTTCATACAGTTGTATAACGCAACAACAACTTAGTTGTATAACCATGCAGTTAACTGCATGGTTATACAACTACTACTATTATTTGATAACGTTAAGCGTTATATAAATAACGCTTAAAGTTATCATATAATAAAAAACATATTTACAAATTCGTATATTAACGCACATTTGTAATATTAGTAGGACTCATTTTTATTTACGACTTTATCTACATGACTGGGATACGATCGATTCGCGATCATTGATTGAAACGATCGTTAAAGCATCGAAAATAACAAATTTACTTTTACAATTGTAATATTCCAAGCGTTAAGAATTATTTCCAATTGATTTAAGGATACACTCAATTTCTCGTTAGTGAAATCGAGTACCGAATATAAAACTCACCAATACGTATCTCTTTTATTTACCCGGGTTATATCTTCGATAGGTTTATGTGTATCCAGCGAACAACACTGTAAGATAAAACTTTATTTGGAGCCAGCCACTATCGTTGGATTGCTACTTTCTCTACCGTGAAACTTCTAGCAAACTTACATTGTAACTGCTACGCTACGTCATTGATTCGCAATATATTATGTACAATACATTGAGAAAAGTATACTGTAGTATATGTTTATTTAATTATTAAGCTATTGCCGGTGATTTTGATTACTCCAATATAAACTTTCATATCCTATTTAATCCTTTTTTGAGGCGAATGCTTCAAAAGTAAAAAAAATATATTAATTTTATTTTTGAACTAAAAGCCCAAATCTAATTGCACCTGCCTAACTTCTTAAATGATCAAATTACATACAAACTATCAACCCTCGGCTTACTTCCCTCTATTTGACATGACACATAATACCTAGTTATTCTTTATTCGACTTATCTATATTTACTACCATCTATATTTCAAGATTCTTCTATTTTTTTTTTTATGAAGTCATTAGGTCACAAACTGATCCAATACATTGTATCTCCTATTTTGAATTATCAACATGAATACGGTTATTTATCATACTTATTGGATTACAATTTTTATATTTAAAATAATGCGAAAATAAATTAATTACAGTAAAATTTATTATGTACATAGTTATACAGTTATTTTGGTGAAATCAAAGAAATATTGTTCATGACGTCACATCAACTAAGAAATGTGTATTGAATACATTTTACATAGTAGTATTTCAACATAAAGTGATATAATTTATTCCTCATCGTCATCATCATCGTCTTCGTCATCATCGATCATTGTAGCGTTAGTGCTAAAGACAGCCGACACGATAGTTCTTAGAGCTCGTCGCGCACTTTGCCTTAAAAGAGTCAACTTGAATTGCATCAGGACAATCAGGTAAGTTGACATGAAAGATATATTCTGAAAGGGATGATTTATATAAGAACTTGTATATAAAGAAACATATACAACATAAAAAGAACAATTCATTCGAAACATAGATGAACATTTTTTATAAAACATATAATCAGTGATAGTATAGATTTCATTCGGTTACACTGCATATAGAGCATCTCTGTAATCTGTATAAAAGAGCTGTGTGCTACTCGTGTTTAAACTGTCAAGCGTTAGGTACCAATTTCATGGCTGTATTGTTTATAAAGCTTAGAATTTTTTTGTTGTTATCTGCCCTGTACATGATGGAACACATAGAAGTTAATTAATGATTTTTAATTTTAGCTTCATTTATTTTGTTTACATAAAGTTTATTTATATACTTACAGCGGTAAAAAGTTCTCGATTAATATTTGTAAAGCCATCCAGATTCATAATGGGCGGATTCTTAGCAATCGCAACAAGAAACATTTCTACTTCCCGTTGCGTGCTACGGTCGATGGCTCCGAGATTCACGTTCAAAAGGCGAACTTGGAATTCTAAACCCACCTGAAAAGTTTTTCGTTTACTTTCACATCTTATTTTTAAGAAGCTTACAAAATGAATTGATTCTCAATTCGTTCGATTTTTTATTGTAATTAACGCGATTGTTGGTTTTGTGGCGATTGAAACTAACTTTTTTAAGGAATCAAAACTACTAAGAAATATATTTTTAAAAGTTTTGTAAGTATATACTATATCTTAATATAGGAAGGCTCAGTAAAGAGCCTGTGTTCGTGTTACGGTCCCTCGTGACTAAAGGTCCGGGATGGTACCAAAACTAGTCGGTATGGTCTACTAAAATATAAATAAGTCAATCCGGGTATTCTTATATTAAAATAATAAGAATATTTAATTTTTTTATATGATTTACTATCAATGAAGAATTAACAAGAATATCGCTTAACAGTTCTCATAATAAAGGAAATTAATAATGGAATTGAATGGAACAAATAGAAATCCAATCTAATGTCTTTTTCTTATTAACTTTAGTGAATAATGAAGTTAAATTAATTATTTACATTTCCTATTACAAATTAATTTCATCTAAAAAATTAAATATAATGATTTTTTTATCAAAACTGGACAGATATGGATAGATATGAAATGAAAATATTGCTAAAGATAATATGATTGATGTGTGGTTTTGGCAAGAAATGGGCCACCCCTTTCTGTCCCTTTGGGGTCGTAAGAAGCGACTAAGGGAACTTAATGGTTGAGGAAAGCAGAATTCCTTTTAAAACATCACTATAGTCTAAGTGCGATTGTCAACCCGTCAGCCAAGCGTGGCAACCACTGCCAACACTTCCCATATAGGGGAGGCTTGTGCCCAACAATGCACAGTTAATGACTAATATAAAATAATGATAATAAATATGATAATGACGAATCTACAAGAATTATCACTACACTTATTTAATAGTGTATTTATGTATACACATATGCACAATGAAGTAGAAACAATTTTAATTTGTAAATGGGTATATCAGGGAGTGCCCAATTACAATTATGAAACAAAATGCTTTCGTCGATAGAATTTGTACTCTGATAACGTTAATGTGGCCTTTGCCGTATCATTGAACTCCATTGTGAAAAGGTCCTTAATTAATTTGTCGTGAGAAAGCTCCGTCCCTCAATATAATGCAATATAATACGTTCAATATAAAACAATCTGCGCTATTAAAACAATATAAGAGTCGCTGTTCCTGACAAAATTAATATAGAACCAACGAGGAAGTGAACCTTATCGATTGTAAAACTAATTATCAAAATTGTTTCAGAATGAAGAAGCGATGATATTGCATATTACGAGTAGGTATATACGTTAAAAACAAGGTAAATTGAAACCTTTTACTTTGGAAGCCTTTTTAAAAATATAGATAAATCTCTATTTATGTATATTTACATAAAAATTTTTGCTGTTTCTCTATAAACTGGCATCTTATTTTAGATTTTTTTTTTATTATAGTGGCATTGTTAAATAAAATAAAATTGTCTATTGTATAATATACAAACATCTAAATATCTTTGTAACACATTTGTGATATATTTTTAATAGGTGAAAGATGGCATGGTAACCCCGCCTGTGCCATCGGTATTCGCTGGCAGGCAGGTCAGTTGGCCCAAATTGACCAATTGAACAAGAATAACAAGAACCACTGTTGTTTCCAGGGCAAATTACGTGGAGATCGACCTGATAGGGTATATTACGAGCAAAGGAGCTGTTAAATCTTATTACTAAAAATCCCTTTCCCCCACCTTTGTGATATTATTAGGATCATAGGCCTATGTATACATTATCTACATACCACTCGTATTCTCTATACGATAATAGGTGTAGTAAGTTAAATGAGCTGACCTTTCTCGAAGCATGATATGCCTCATTACATATAATAAACAGTAAGGTCATGCAGTACCCGACTATGACAAAGAGACCCATCTCTTTATAACTAAGGCCGTGCTCCAATATCTCTGTTAACGCACCGTAAAGCGATATAGTGGTTGTGAAGAAGATAACCATACAGTAAATTCCGTACATATTTGAGTATGCACGACCTGTAACATAACATAAATTTCCATTTAAATTAAATACTGTTGATATCTCAATTTTCCATTTAATATTAGGTGCTACAGTTTACGATATTTTTAAAAAATGTAGGTCGATTCTGAAATTTAATTTTGTGAACCTTGTTTATCTTTATTATAATTTTTTTGTTCACTAAAATTGTTATTTACAAGTTTTTCCTTATTGTTATTCTGTTGTTGTTATGAACACTTAAATAAGAATTTAGATAGATGTGTTGATAAATTGACACTATCTTAGTCAATTAATCGATTTATTGTGTGACACTACTAGTAGCTCTAATCATTCGATTAATAATCGTTACCTAACAAATATTAGGCAATACTAATACTAGCTATCTGTCATTCTATCAATAGTAATTAATATGACACTTTTTTTTATTGCACTGATGAATTAGATTTATAAATATTGTGAACAAAGGAGTTCTTATCTCTGAAAGAGATCGGTTGCAGCCAACCCAATACAGTAAGAGAGCATGTAGTTAGTGGGCAGTTAAAGTGCACGAGTGCTATACGAACAACATCATCAATATTAATTAATAAATAAGCTTTGTATATAATATTACTACAATTATATTTATATAATACCTACCTACTTATACAATAAATGTTAAAACAAATGAATATGCTACCTACATTAGAAATTTAATTATTTTAAGATATGACAGTTAAATTTGTAAAATGAAAAATAATGAAAAATATATTTATAGTTACTAATAAAATCGTATGTTTCACATAAATATTGAAATCACCATCCATATAACTTGCAAATCGATTTTTGTTTATCGCATGCCAGGTGGTACGAATTGGATACTTGACTTAACGATTATTATTATAGTACACGTGCGATGTAACATTAACCCGAGCTAGTTACCTGGTTTATATGTTAGTAATATTGTAATAAACTCATCCTATTTCACTATACAAAGTATAACATGACATTAGTATAGTTTCATTGATTTTATTTCTATAAAATAAGAGAAAGATAGTAAAATAAGATAACTATAACCATCCAAATTTACAAAGATCTAAACTTTCACATTTACATAATTTAGAATTGATAAAATTTTTAAATACTGACATTATTAAACTGTAAATTTAATAATTTGTCAACCGTGGGCTAACATGTTCTGCTATTTGGCTATCATGTCTGTAGATAATGCATATACACTTTACAACTAACCCAATTGTTGCATCATATGTGACAGATCTACCCATAAATGCCGGTATTGTGCAAGTTTCAGAGCTGGATAATCTGCTTCTAACGCTTTGTGTAGATTCGTTGCCAGACCATGAGATGCAGTACTGAATGCGTTGCAGTTAATGTACCTATAATTATGAAACCAACAATTAACAAACAATCTTTGATTAATAAATGTCGTGAGTAATATTATATTATAACTATTTATATTAGTTATATATTACATTTTTATTATTTATATTCTTTTACAAGTATTTGTATTAGTTTTCTTCACGTATAAAATTTAGAGATGTCCGACTAATTTAGAACTCCACAGGAGCCCTTACTCATAAGCGCACACAGTAGTATGCAGCTCGCTGGTCGCGCAGTGCTGTTCGCAATGTTCCAATACAGCTGTGATACCGTGTTTATGAATAACGTAAATAAAACTGATAGGTATAAATAATTACAATAACATATTATTATTATAATATATATATATATATATATATATATATATATATATATATATATATATATATATATATATATATATATATATATATATATATACACAAGTGGTTTTACACTTTGCATGAAATTAATATATTAATTAACTACTACTTCTATTACTATTCGTGTAAAGGCGTCTTCATCTAGTGTAAAGAGTTTCTAGATCGACTTCATTTGACATTAAGTTATTTGCTTCTGTTAATGGAAAAAATTGAAAAATTTATTTAATTAAGTTGAATACAATAAATCTGTGCAGCTCTTAAGATTATCGGCCTTTTTTTCAAGCCTGCATCAGTTTAAACATACTTCTGATTTTCTAGAATAGTCTATGTCGGCTGAACAACACTTTCACAGCATCATGGCTCAATTGCGAAGTTAAGTATGGAAATTCCCAGATAATCTAAGAGTAACCCTAAATAAACCATAATCAGATTACTGTAGTTAGGAGACTACTTTGAGTAAAACAAATAGTTTGTTGCTTTTATTTTCCTGTAACACGGTGAACTGAATTGCTGAGTTCCTTAAAATGTAAGTAAATAGATAGATACTCTTTGTTGTTTCCTCCAAAAGATTACAACAATAAATTTATTATAAATATAAACAAATACAATGTAGATTCATGTATTGATAGCTGACTCATGCGTCATACACCTTAAAAGCTATTGTTTAATTTGACTGATCTATTTAATTATTATATATATATTAATTAATAATAATAATATAATGTATTAGAATGTACTTTATTTTTAGTAACAAAAATCAACATATTATATTACCCGCTAATAATTATTCGTATATCTAACAAATTTCTGAATTGTAAGTGATTTAAAAAGAATTACAGCTTTTTTTGAGCAATTCTCTGCAAATAATAATATTCTTAAACCCACGATAGAATCATAAAAAGACCACTCGAAGTAATTAATTTAAGGCATTAAGTTTATTTCAATAAATGACAATTTTATGTGTACGAAAGTAAAATTATTATAATGATCTCCGTGGCCTTTTATGTTATCTTTTGTCTATAAAAATGCTAAATATCTTTAAAAGATAAAACCGTTCACTGACTAATCACGAAACCTCCGAAACCATTTCATCATACGAATTCGAAATTTACCTCCTTTCATGTGATGTAAGCATTCACTAAGGAAAACGCTTTGGAAATTTAAAGGAACGAGAGATAATGATTTCCGTTTGGGTGAAGCCGTGTTGTTTCTAGTACTCATAATACCTGTTTTGAAGTATTATTATGAATGTATATATTTAAAGAGAAACTGATTGTTAAGTCAATGTATAATCGAAACTGCTTATTCTAAATAGGAAATTTTACCTTTGAGCTTTTGGAAATTGCTTTTTAAAAGGGAGATAAAGGGGTCCACTTGGGCGAAGTCGTGGAAAACCGTTAATTCTACTAACAAAGTTCGGATGTTTGTTATTCAATAATAGTAACACGGATGAATGATTTGGAATGAAATTTTGTACACAGATAGACAACATCCACGTCTTATAGTATTTACTTTTTATTTTAATTTAATCAAGTATTCCTTGATTAAATCAAAATAACCCTAAGCTACTGCTAGTTACGTATAATAGTTATTTTATATTTCGGAATATGAACTTTTGCTGAAATTTGACACAAAAAAAGCCTAAAATAAAATGAGTTAGCGTTATATGAAAAGTTATGAAAATTTGCATATATACAAGGGAATAATATAATTATGTTTATATTAAATTCTCTTGCGTATATGTATAATATAGTGTACATAAAATAAAATAAAAACTACATACCATAGTGAGCAAAAGCCGTCCAACATCGCAATGATATGGTAATATGCGAACGAGTGCCATAACTCGAAATCATCTTGTAAGTAGTGTTGAGATAAAACTACGGTGAAACTGAGGCCCCATGAGAAAACACATAGTCCCCATGTCAGATAATAAAGATTTGGAAATATTATAGGAGTGCCCGTTATTTTGAGATATTTCAACTGCAATAAAAAATGTTTATACTTTACTTTCTCAACAACAAACTAATATTAAACTACTTTAGGAAGACTTACATAACTTTTCTTTATTTTGGGTGAATGTTATTCGATAATAGTAAACCGATTTTGATAGTTTTTTTATAGATACATAAACGAGTCAATGTTATAAATATAGAAATAAATCAAAGAATATTAATATAATAATATAATAAACAGGTAATTCCTTTATTTAATTTGCTAATTAAATGGCATATTTGCATAAGAATCACAAAACGTACTCAAGCAAATTTCTACCATCTTGGAGGACTACTAATGAATATTTTTTATAAATTTTTCAAGGAGAGCAAAATATATCCAATTTAAGGAGACGATTTAATTATAAAAGCGCTAAAATGAGTTCGGACCTGGACCGGACCTTTGTAAATGGCATTTTAAAATGAACACCACATTTTGCAAAAACATTAAATAATAAAAACACGCTATTAACAAATTAGAATAATAAAAATACACTTAATTTTACCTGATAATGTGTCCACATATTTTTGAATATAGCAACTTGTGGCCCGTGCCGCCAGGAAGCTATCGGAAGCAGGAAATGGGGTATAAGGATGCTCAAAAAGATGATGTTGTAGATAATTTCGTCGAATCGTTTATAAGAACTCTGTTGGAAATTTGTTAAGCGTTCCCTTCCCACTGGAATAAAGTATCACAATATTAATAAATTATTCAAGTTTATCTTATAAATAACCATTTATTCGATACTAATATATTTAAGTGACACAATTAAATAGTAATATTTTATAGATAGCTATTATTTCTTATTAATTCTAATTTTATTTATAGAATTTTTTATGAAATATGTAAGAAACAAAATTTTATTATAATAAATAATAATATTTATTTTTAATATTTTAGATAATATTTTTTTTTACCTTTGACTACTATTATGCATTCCAGGCCCCACACCAGGTAGGCCCACAGAGTAGCTTTTGATATCCAATCGTATGTTGTTCTTTTCGTAGTTTTTGCCTCTACAAAATAAGATGAAAATTAATCAAAATCTAGAAAGTATTTATTCATAATAATTTTTTTTTTCAATATACTGTCTAATTTAGAAGCAGTTTTAGTTTCTAAAGATCTCGACTATTACCTTGAAATTAATATTTTTGTAAATTGTGTGAATACAAATTATCCAGATAAAATAATAAAAAAACAGACATACAAAATTAGAATTAAGCCAAAATATGATATAGTATTAAAAATAATATTGTGATTATAATTTAGATTATTGTAACACTTGATAAATATAAAAAGTTGTGTACCATGGAGTTTCCTCGATAAATTAACATTAATTTGACTATCTGTAAATTTTATAAAAAATCAAACATCTTTGCTAACTTTAATATTTATAATATTAGTTGGATGAAGACTATACAGTTATACCAATTGCCTGCTTCACAAACTGGGAAACATTTGGGGGCTCTACACCCAGGCCGAAGCCAATTTAGTAAAGTTCGTTTATAAAAGTGCCCCGACCAAGAATAGGCGACCTCGGTTGTAATAATTTGCGCATAATAAACTATGAGATTTAGGTCAGTTTAGTTTTTTAAGGGTAAGGTTGCTATGCGAATTTAGATTTTTACTAAAACCTCCAATGTATTTTTCCAAAACAATATGATTTCCAGGACTATTACCCAATCACAAAATTCAATAGTTTTACACTACGTTTGGATATTTGTCACAAACGTAGTGAACGACGAAAAAAAGAAAAGACATAAATATATTTTTTATTTTTTGCTTATTTTTCTCCTCCTCCTCTTATCTCATCCTCTGGTCTACTTTCGTACATATATTTGATTGCATTTATATATTTCTATAAAATTCCGCAAACAGAAAATTTTTAACCCAAAAATTGTGGAAAAATTATCCAATCTGACCGTTGCCAGCTGCGCATGGCACTCCTGGTATTGCAAGGGTCCATAAGCTAGTGTAACTGTTTACTATCACAAAGACAATATGCTTATTTGCCATCATAGTAGTACACAAAAAGTTGTTATCTTTATAATTTTGTTATTTTATCTGTCACTCGGTTATCAGACTCATTATATATATATGCAACGAAACCATACTATTTCGGCTGTTGTATTTGTAAAAGTATAATACTAAATAATATATAATACTAAATAATGGGATTATTCGCAAAAATCGAACCAAACCTCTCATAAGCCTATTTTAAATATAGCTCTATCTTTTGCGCTCTCCTCGAAAAATATCAATATCATTATTTTAGCCCATAATTTTTCACCATAGAACATAAGCCTCCCTCTTGGGGGGATTTTGCTAGTAGAAGGAAGAATATAAAAAATCTTAAACACTATGCAACTAAATAATACGAAACATTGTTTAAAGTCACTAAATTTGTTGTTTTGTTACAATGTAGATAAATATGGATATAAAATTTGGAGTATAAACCAGATGGAAGATCTTCCAGAAGTACGTAGATTGTAAATACACAATAAAATAATATACAAGAATAAAATATTAAACTAAAAATATCAATTCACATATCTGCTTAGATTGTTTTGTTTTTAAAATTAAATTATTGTGTATGACCAAGTGAATTATATGAATTAACTTGAATTATTTAACGGCAAATGAAGTACGAGTACTAACCTCAACGTTTTAGTTAGGTTTTTATTTTTAATTGGCTTCAAAAAGATGAAGATTCTCAATTCGGTTATATATTTTTGTTTGTTATCTCATGATACTGTCAGTTATAAACCGATTTGTAAAATTCTTTTTTTATTAAAAATGATATACTTACATCTCATTGGTCTTATAGAAATTTTATCGAAACCGTTTCAGTAGTTGAATTTTTAAATTAAAATAATAATTAATTAATTAATTTTTTAATTGGTATTGCCACAATCGAAGTCGTTTTTTTTTGTGAAATATCATATTATATTATATTTATTGTGAAATTTAGAATATTTTTTTAATGGATATTGTGCTTTTGGTATTCTCTGGTACCAGAGTGGGATGATAGGTTATAATTAAAAGGCTAACTGACCTAGTTAACCTATTGTGATAAATACATTTGAAATTCAGCACGATGCTTTCCAAGGGGAACTATGTATGATAAGTCATCCTGACTGAGGGTACATTGCTAGCAATGGAATTGCTTTACATAACTAACAATTCCTTTTCCTCCATGTTGATATAAATTCAAATAGCACCACAGATATTACAGCATGTATTCTGATGTCTGTAATATCCTTTATGCGTTGTCATTCCCGGAAACTACAGAATGACACCTCAGTGTTCTATAATTTCACTGTAATTCCTTAAGATGATCTATCCATCCTCCAAGAACAGAGGGCATTATTAATTATTAGATTTTCGCGCTTCATATTTTATGTTAAATATAACAGATAGGAATTTACGCGATCCTTTAGGTAAACTATGTGACTACTCGTGACCACAGTCAGCGTTACCCGGTCGAAAGTTCTAGATAATTCAGGTAAATTATCATAGTTTACCTTAATGAACGCGTTAATCCCCGTTTCTTATAAAACATATAGCATTAGCTATTAACACAAGCAGGTCAGAAAAGTAACGTCATTGTAGGTAGGTATCACTAGTTCCCTCAACTAATGTTTCGTTCTTAATCCAAGTATTTGTTTTTAAAATAAGTGTAATGAAATTTCTAATAAATATTTATTTTGAGATTCAATTTCAAATTTTTATATAGGAGCTAGATTTAGTTATTATCAAATCTAAATCTTGCATGGTCAATTAGCGTATTAAAAGTATCTGTTGTTGAAATAACCAAGGAGAGATTGTAAAAAAAATCTTTCGTGTCCACAATGTGGCTTTTGGCAACGTATGTTGCCATTACGTTTTATAGACGAAGTTTGATCCCAGACACACTGTTTTTAATGTCATCGCGTTTCACGACCAACACGAGAGAAGTATGAAACTTTGTCTTGAACAATCTCGGGTTTTAAAAGTTATTGAATCTTGAAAATTTTTCTTTGTTGAAACGTGGAAAGTTAAAAAGGGAGCCTCATTCAAGGACAGTCTACGGTTTTTTTTTACCGTGCTCCTTTTATGCGAGACCCTTAATGTGTAATTTTCCAAGTTTTAATGCCTTTCATAAGTATTAATGTCCCAGAACTCTTTATTTGTAAAAATCTATATCGACAACCCAATGTGTATTATTGTGCAAAGTAATATAATATATATAATATGAATATTATTTTTTCTACTGAATTATTCGTTCTAAATATGATATACCTACTAACGTTTTGCTTACTAATTCGTACACGTGGATTTCAGAAGTAGGAAAGTCTCATTATAATGTTTTTTTTTTATTTTTTATTATTAAGCTCTTGTTTTTTAAACAAGTAATCAAAATAAACTACTACTGAAATAAAATATACGTCAATTTTTAAGTTAGACATTCAGGAATATAACTGTAAAAACTGCATCTAATTTTGTGTAGTAATTTTTGCGTAATGCCAGAACAAACACACATACAAACAGGAAAAGTTTCTAAAAAAGGTTATTTTAACTTCTATTAGGTTCTCTTTTTAAAACTCTTTACATTAATTGTTTCTACATATCTTCTATGTATAGACGTCGTTAAGTCCACAATTATATTATATTAGTAAAATTTTAATGTAAAAGTCATAGTAGGCACAAAAGATCTCCTAATTAATTCTGCCAGAACTTGGTTGACTTACCTCTCGGTACCCTCATTATGGGCATGATACCCATGATTTGGAAGAGAACCAGTAAACTTTTGGTTGTTATGTAAAAGCTGTCATGTTCATCTAAAAGTGCACCGTCAGAGTCGGTTATTTTCGGTCCATACAAATCCTTAATTTGATAGTCTGTAAAGATAATATTAATTATTAATGTTTATTTTTTACTTTAATTTTAAAGCTGCCATTGGAACCTATATTATATTCTTTACCAGACGAACGGAAAGGTAGACGGGCCGTTTTTATATATTTTATCTGTAGATGCATCTGTTGTTTCCTTCGCTTTCATACATTTGTAAGAGCTTAAAAAACAAATTCATTTACAAAAAAATACTGAAGACCAGTAAATTAAGTTCTTGGTTGATTAAATCTTACGAAACTTTATACGACTTGTGTAATTTGAAATGCAAATTGTATTTTGGGTCAAAAGATAAGACGAATTCGCCGTAATCGTGTCCCATAAGGGCAATGAATTTTGGTCGCACAATTCTAAACTTTATTACTTCTTGCCTATAAAATTCCTTGTTATGACTCTACTATAGGATAATACAAATATTATTTTACACTAACACTTTTTATTTCTTTTCTAAACACAGAAAATATAAGTGTTTACCTACATATATCATTAGAAGTCACACGTTAATGATGGCTATGTTATTTATTAGAACGAATAAAATTATTAATTTAAATACAGCATTGCAAGCATATTAAAAAAGTATTAAAAATAATATTAAATAGATACTATTAACATTTATGTGAAAGTTCCATAAAAAGATATACCATATTAGTCGTTAATTTTCCACTACTTAACATAGGCCTCCCTCTAGAGGGTTTTCTAGTAGATGCCACGCTTGGTTGCCACACCAACCTACCTGAGGTTGGTAACCTCAGCTAGATCTTCAAGAGGAACTATTTTGCTCATACCTCGACTAATAAGTTCCCTTAGTCGCTTCCTATGACATCCACGAGAATGGAAGGGGTAACCTATTATATGCCGGGCCCCCATGACGAAGAAGATATATGAATATATAATAATATATAATTATTGGTGTTGATTAAGTAATTCTATTCCTTAAACCTGTCTATAAAATCTAAATTTTAAAATGCCGTAACGAATCTATAATGTTGCGAGTCATCAATAACCAAATTTAAAGTATTTCTCACTCAAATTTATTAAATATTTGGTTCGTAATAATTCTTAGAATAATGATTGCACAGTAATAGCTGAAAACTGAAACATTCAATTTAGAGATAGAAATAGCAAAATGCCATTCGAGAATTGACTCCATTATATTTTAATTGAAATATTTTAATCACCGCGCTCGCTACATGTCTACTCATGAGTAAGGATCCCGGACGATCCCAAAATTAATTGAGCATTCTCCACGAAATATATGTAAATCACTTGGGATATTATTGTAATAAAAATATATGTTAATAGTCTATGTTTTATTATATTAAAGTAGGTTATTAAAATTCAAAATATGTAATTAAAGATTTGTAGATAAATATTAATAAAATTGGAAAGATATGTATAAATTTGCACTTATAAAAACTTATAAAAGGAAATATTTACTCGTATATGTCTATTTCGAACATAAAAATAAGTATTTGATTATTTTGAAAATATTTGAGAAATGAACCAGAAAGTAGAGCTTTTACTTTCGTTTGATAAGTTTTTTTAAATTAAGTAACTTATATAATAATACTATTTCAAAATGGTTTTGTACTGTTGGAAGTAATTTTTTTCTTAAAGATACGTCGTTGGAAAAACGAAAAAAAATTTAGTCTCCCATACTGATTTAAAAAAGGACGCGACATGGAAGCTCGCTATTTTTGTCGTTTTTCGACCCTATGTTTCTTCGGGCAAAATGTTAGATTTTGTTTATAGAAAATACTCATAAATTTATGCATTATTACCTTTATACTCTGTATAAAATGCCAAATAAAAAATGTATAAGTATATTACTAAATCCGGCACAGAAATTTCATAAAAACTCCATTACTCAGTGATGCAATCTACTATTTACCTTTATCATCTTTCTCGTTCTGTCCAAACATTTCTCTTTTTCTCATATCCTCATTTTGATTTGGATTGTACATCCAATTTTTTTGATTGTTTCTGTTCATTATCTGTCCAATTTTATGTTGCGTGGTTGAGTTCTGTCCCCTTCTGCGGAACCGAATAAGCTCTGAAAGCTTGTGTAACAAAATACGACATAATCAATCATAACCCACCCTTCTCAGCTTACTTGGATATGCGCGTTTGTCATTGAAATACTATAGAGTTGCCGTATTTTTTTTATATATATTAAATACTATCTATTTGTTATTGTTTTGAAACAAATCAATGAAAAAGACTGTATATGATGATAATACTACAGTTTTATTATTATAAGGCTCTATATGTGTTTTCAAAATATATTGGTTAGATATGTATTTTTAGAACACAATTATTTAGACTTTACAAACACTTATCAAAAAAAAAAACAACTTGTATATTTTTATGAGAAGAAATTTCTATATTTAACATTTTATACAATAAGTATATATATATATATATATATATATATATATATATATATATATATATATATAGACTACACTGATTCGTCGATGTGCACCGTGACTAATGATACCAAAACATTACATTTATTGCTTGTAACATTTTAATTACATATCAGCCAAGAGTTCATTGACTCGGTATTCTACACAGTATGTATATAATTTGAGTACGAGTGTGCACTACATCGATTTAAATATTAAATATAATAATTATCTATTAGTAACTCAGATCATTCCCTACTATATCAGATGTGTGATATGTGCGCTAAAATTAGCATCCTCTATGAATTATCTATTACAACTTCTGCTTAGTTTGTTCTTTTTACTGTCTAGACTTATAACAAACTTTGAACAAACTTATAAAAAAGTTAACAGGTATCGATTACATGACCACACATACTAGCCTGTTTTCCATAATATTATAGTGCCAATTTGCAGGGGAAATTAGTTTAATCTGTGAAACTGACAGATTTATAAATAACAATGAGTGTGTTCTGACAGAGGTGTCAATTAAATTTAAATAAATCAATTATTGATTCAGGCACGTGGAATGACAAATTAATGGTTGACAAGACAGATATAATGTGGTTGGTTGCAGGTACCTATTACGATCAGGTAAATCGTGACAGATAGATAGACAGACGAAATACAGTAATATCTTTTTGTCATCTCTACGGATGTGTCTGTTCTCAGACACCTCCTGTAAAGCCGTATACCGATGACGCCGCAGCGTCGCTCCGCGGCCATTAATTCATATTTCACACTAATGGCGACTTTCAAAAACACTTAACGACTCTCTAAGTGAGATGTTAGCTTCGTTGTGTTTGAACCTTAGTATTAAATATTCATAATTCATGTACCTATGGAAAAATGGTGGTTACGATGAAAATATCGATAAAATACAGTTGTTACAAAAGTAGTAGCGGTTGAATAGAAAATAGACCAAGTTTGTTTCTTCAAGTTCTTACTAATATTATAAATGTGAAAGTGAGTTTGATAGTTAGAGATGATCCACTTTACGTCCTAAAGATTCAACCGACCATAATTAAATTTATATACATTTACCCCTTTATTTATAAAAATGTCTAACCTCTCATAATCCCATTTTAGCTATTTTGTCTCTTTCTTTTGTGCAAAATTTCCAATTTAAAAGAAAGCGACAAAACAGTGTAATATTAAAATACGTTTGTAGAAGGTTTTAGTTTTTATAAATAATAGAACAATATTTAGAAAGGTCATAGATCGCTTATACTTATACAGTAAACATAACACAGCAGACAAAGTCGCGAGTAATAAACACTAGTAATAACAGTCGCCATGTGATACCGGCATAGATAGAGGCGACTAAGGAAACTTAATGGTCGAAGGATTAGCAGCAACGCCCCGTTTAAAACATCACCAAAGCCTTACAGCGGTTGCCAACATGCTTGCCAAGCATGGCGGATATTGGCAAAACCTCCTTATGTGGGTGGACAGCAGTGGATAGTTAATGGTTGATACAAAAAAAATGCAATAAGTGAATGTTTAAAAATGTATTCTATTCTCCAACAAAGACGAAATGTGTGTTGTTGTTAATATTAAAAGATATTTGTAAATACAGATGTATACTTGACCACCACAGCGATATAAATGATATCGAGCCACTTTAGTAAAGTAATTGCACAAAAAGCCCAGCTGTTCCCTCTTAATGTTTTAGATAAGTTGAAAAAACCGTGCCGTCTCGATCGATTTACTATGAAAGTAAAAAAAAAAAAGTTTACACGTTTTGGAAAATATTTTTCAGTTTTATAACTACTATTTCTTAAAAAACTGTACACTGAGTTTTTTATTTTTTGAGAAATTTATTTATTCTGTACCCTAACGTGATATACGTTTGGGTACATAATAAATAAATTTAAGGTTATAAATAAGATAATAAATTTCCGTTTATTCCCGCTTTACGCCGATAAATAAACTTCAATTCGACTTATTTACATAATCGTTAGGCCAGTATGAAAGGATCGACGCCATTATTAAAACACACGATGTCATCAGGTAAATTTTAATTAAGCGGTTTAAATAAAGTGTAGGCTGTTTAAGTCTGGAAAATTTGTGCGGACGCCGTAAAGGTTAATTTGCATGGACTCATAATTTTGTTACGGATTGGGCGTAAACACGTAATACAATAAAGATTTTTTTCGTAAAATAATATAAATTATATCTATCCTTTTACGCAATATATTATCAGGAATGGAATAAGGCCTATATCCAGCAGTGGACAGATAATGGTTGATGATGATGAATGGATTAGTAGACATGTCTGTAATATTATAAAAATGTAACCAAGTTTTATATGAAATTACATTTTTTTATTTTGAGAATTTACAGGGTACAGAGACATAACATCTTAATCCTCAAGAATAGGTTGGCATCCATGGGAATATTATGGACGAGACAGTATATTATATCCATGATACTGTTCATGTATATATGCGACGGTTACCACTTTCCATCAGGTGGGCCGTCAACTTGTTTGCCCTTTTAAGTTACATAAAGTAAACGTCATAAAAAATGAAATTTTTAATAAATCAAAACATTTAGCCAATCGATTAGTTTGTACTACTATTGGAAATAAAACAAATGATGATCGTATCAATTATTCGATTGTTTAAATTTTTGTTAAGTTGTATTGAAACAGGACATACTAACAAATATCCTTAAACTTTTTACACAAAGCAATTTCAATCGTAAACTAAATAAATTTTGTATTATATGGATACTAGACAACTGTTATATGTCTAATAATATAATTAACTAGTAATCCGGCCCGATTTCGCACGAATAGAGAGAATTTTAGAAAATAATATATAGCCTATATTACTCGCTGATAACATAGTTTTCTATAAGTGAAAGAATTTTTAAAATCGGTTTAATAGTTTTTGAGTTTATTCATTACAAATAAACAATCGAATCTTTCCTCTTTATAATATTAGTACAGATTTATAGATAATAGAAAAACCATTTTAGTGCCTACTTAAGTGCTTTTTTGGTAAATAAGTGTATATTAATATATTTATTTATAATAAAATATGTAATGCAAACATAGCCATTATATGTCATAAATGTGATCGAAGCCATAACCCTAATGGTCATAAAATAAAGAAATGTATTAAATATTACTCAAATTAGCTTGCATAACTTTTAAGCAACAATATAATATTTATAATTTCCAAAACACTTTCAAGTAACATGATCTTACAATAAGGAAACAGAAGCAATAAGTTGCAAATCCAAAGTAAGATTACAATTGGATCCAATTTCACTGTGACATTAACGCGAACTGCCTAATTGCTTCAAAATGTTTCACTCACGACTTTGGCTCTACACTAATGAGACCAAGTTGAACGGTACAGATTACTTCGTCCAGACAAGATGTAATCAAATATGCCTACGTCAATTTATAATACAAATAGATCTGCCATGTCACGCGAATCTCAGTTATCTTAAGTTGCACGGTTTAATGTGTGCAATCAGCGGCGTAATTTGCATTTTTTCAACTAACTTCATTCTTGAAGTCGGTTGAAAAAAAAACCTCGAAAAAAAATTCCAAATTAAAAACCTTTTTCTGGAGGTTTTTAATTCCGTTGTATTTTTTTATGTTTGCTACCTCATAACTACGTCAGTTCTATTTTTTTTTATTAAAGAGAATATACTTATAGATAAGTTCCATAGAAATTTTCACTAAATGGTCCAGTAGTTAAATTTTTACATCAAATTGTCATAAATGAAGTCGATTTTGTTTTTTTTTTTTTTATGGGGCACAATTTTTTATTATTAAACTCCACTAGGCTACTACTATATAGTTTTTAGTTTTAAATGAAGAAACTTCAACTGCCTTTTTTTAATAACAATTGGACTTATATACATGAGATTTGCATGACACGGCAGAGCTGAAACCCTCGATTTATCCCTTGTAAATGTAAATTACGGGCAACGTTAGGTACATTTCATTAGATCAATCCGCTAGTCACTTCGTCTGGCTCCCTAACAAAAAAAAAATAGGAAAAAAGTATCCTATGTATCAATGTATATCACAATCTTTATGTTTACCATATTTCATTCAAATCTGTTCAGTTGTTCAACCGTGAACGAGTTACAAATATCGAAACATCTTTAGATACTTTCACATAATATTAGTAGCATTAACATAAATATATTCATATTAAAATTATAAACATCCACGTATTCGAAGTCGTGTGCAAAAGCTAGTTTTATAATAGAACTATTCTCTAATACCACAGTGCACTCGAACTAGGTTCTAATCTAAGTTTTGAGGATGAATTTCCTGTAAATAATGAGCGATATGACGAGAGGAAGCTATGGGTATTATGTGAAACTATTTCTCAGAACAAAGGAAGACCATAAATGTCATTGTGAGCTGTGGCTCGACATTTATTAGTATACGATCGTTGATAGTACTTTTTTTTTACAACACAGGTGGAAAACGAGCATGCGGCTCACTTGATGGTAAGTGACTACCGCCACCCATGATCACCCACAACACCTACGGCATTGCAGGTGTGTTATTTTAGCTGTGTTATATTATCTACCAGAGTAAAACTGTACAAAACTCTTTTGCTTGAGTACCTCTATTC